AAAAAAAAAAAAAAAAAAAAATCCAAAGCCAGTAGGAGAAATATCTGAAGGACAGTGAAGAAAATGCACAGAAAATATTACACAGTGAAGACTTACTGAATAAGGGTGAGACCAAACTCATTTACAATAAAGTTAATTAAGACTAGAAAAGGGATCTGGCACGACAGAGTATATGACCAGTATATGTGCAGGTCAAGCAGATAAAAATAAGACCTGGCAATGGTTAAGAGCAGGAAAATTGAAGAAAGACACAGACAGAGGGACTAATTCTGGCTGCACAAGGCCAAACCTTAAGAACAAATGCATACAAAGCCAGAACTGAGAAGATAGCACAACTGACAGCAAAGAAGCTGAAGAAACTATAGACCACCTAGCCTGCTGCTGAAAGAATATCACACAGACTAACAATGGAATGGAACAATAATAGCTCATAGGAATATCTGTAAGAAATACTGCTTGCCTGCAAGCAAGAACTAGTGGGATCACAAAATAAACAAAGTAATAGAAAATGAAGAAGCTAATGTGCTCTGGGATTTTAGAATTCAAACTAATACCTGCCACATAACACCAAACTTAAAATCTTCAATAAGAAAGAGAAAAATGTCCAAACGTGGCATTACCTGAAAAAACAGAATAGAAGAGAAAAAACTGGAGAAGATAACAAAATACAAAGCATGGCAAATAGAAGTAGAGCAATTTTGGCAAAAGAAGGCAAATATAGTACCTATAGTATAGTAATAGGCACCTTGAATGCAATCCCAAAATATCTGAAGCACCACTTGAACACTAATGGCATTGACAAAATCACCATCAGTCAATTACAAAATGTAGCTCTTCCTGTAACAGCTTACATCCTGTGACAATATCTTTAACACCACTGAACATCTATCTAGAAAAATGTGCTACAGTAGCAATAATTGACAAAAATAGCAACAACTGACAAAATTTCCATTGGTCAATTATAAAAGGCGACACTACTTGGCTCTATGCAGATATTGACATATTATGATGTCCTAAATTATTGGGAAAAACATGACACATATGAAGGCCAACCCTTGCTCAAGATCTGGCAATTGTGATTTTACATGTTGTTTGTGTAACAATAACAATCATAGATTACATCATAGACATAGTTAGATATAGCAAAAGTTACAAATGTAGGCTATGATGCCACAATGCAAATTCAGACCTGTATATACTTACTGTATATGCAATATTGTGATCAAAGTATGTTAAATGGTGTTTGCATTGTGAACTCAATACACATGTAATATCATGGTGGTGTTATTGTGTTTAGGAACAGATGCCCATACACTCCAGCCTTTGGCAATTACAGCCATTCACACTTACTGAGAAATCTGATTTAAACAAGGTTTAATTCTGAGTAGATATGCAAAAGATTACATTACTAAGTCCTAGGTTTCTCTTCCCAGAGTAAAGAATTTTTAGTTTGGGTTTAAAGACCTTAAAGACTGCTATTAAAAGCATATTGTAACTCTAATACAGGGTGTCAAGTTGTTGGCCCGCGGGCAAGTTTCATCATACCAAAACTGCGCCCACCCCATTGCCGGCAATGCAAAAAGAGACGCGATACGTCGTGACACATCATGTGACATGGCCAGTTTGACACCCGTGCTCTAATGTGATAAAACCTCTCTAACACAAAGTCCATTCAGGAAAGTTAACCTTAGAAAGTCAACCATATTTTAAAATATTCTGTAATATTAAGTTCTTGGATTGTTAGGTTAATTAGAAACAAGTCATAATAAAAAACAGGTAATGCACTGGGTAATTAACTATTTTACTACCACAAGTTAAATGTAACATGATGTAGTTATGATATATTAGGTTATAGGTTTAAGTGGTGATTTTTCCCCAAGATATTTCTGGTAAGATGTGGAGGACTGTTCCATGGGAATAGAACAATTTTCATCTAATGTTTCACCAACAAAAGACAGCAAAATGTTTGGCTGTTTCCTTCCTAGTTTGGACAATTCCTGATCATTCAAGAAATTTATATATAAAAAAGAATGCATCACATTGTGCTCCTTTGAATATTAACAAAAGTTAATATTATGGGAGCATAATGATATCAAAAAAAGCATAAACTAGTGATTTGTGATCAAAGGAAATAACTCATATAATATATATAATTAACATGACAAGTCACTGCAATTAAATCACCCTAATTATAACTCCAATCAAGCCATTTTAAGATTGATGTAAACTCATAAGACATTTTGTATGGGAATTAGCACAAAATATTGATTTTATGGATACTTTGAGCAAAATATGAGTTTAGGAAAAGCTAAAAAAAAATCTATGCAATCACAAGTTATGTCTGAGCCAAGAAGTTCTTGATGCAGTAGCATCCACAGGAGTTTTCTGTTTTTATCAAAAGGAAGAAAACAACACTCCACACTGAGAGTGTAACATTACAATACTCATACAGAAGGGCTTAGATAATAAACCTGCAATGTTGCTGTCATAATTTTTGCCTTCAGTTGAATTCCCTTGCAAGTGCCACACTCTTCTGACTCTTTTTATTTTCCTTAACATAAATTGCCTTGCACAAGACTCAGAGGCTTAGAGTAATACATGCTGTTTGATTAAAAATGTTTAGCTTTATGCTGTCTTTAAGCTTTTGCAAAGTGAAGAAAGTTAATGGGAATCAATTCTACTAGCCCTGCAAGCTTCTTTGCATCAAGAAGTCAAAGGAAGAGAGATATTTGTTTACAAATCTATATAAAACTACCTGATCAAGGTTGATTGGCATTATCTGCAACAAGAAATAAATTTGCTGGATAAAATTACTCCCAAACAAAATTTCTTACATATTATTCCTTTCTAAATAGAACAAAGCAAATCTGAAGTAAATTTGTGTGCCATAATAAGCCATCATATGGATTAACACACTGCATATTACAGCTTGCAAATCATCATTTTTGGCTTCCTGTTATGTAATGATAAAATTATTTCTTTCTGCTTTGTTTTACTGCCCTGAGTTTCTTGGAAAGATGGAAAGCCATATAAATTTGATAGATAAAAAAAATCTATTAAATTAAAATTGTACCCCAGGATTCTGGTTGTTATGAGTGATTACTGGAATGATTCCTTGGTAGCCAGGATTTGTATTATTCCAGCTAAGCTGATATTGTCTTCACAACCTTGAAGAAGGACCAGTTGTTGAACAAAAGTTTACAGCAGTTACTAGGATACTAGATATACTGCAGATGGAGAACAGAGGGGCTTCTGAAGTAGTGAAAGAATTACTGTGGGAATAACCACTGAGTGAGCTCCAGAAGCACAGACAAACAAGGCCCTCTATTAACAATGGTACCCATTTCCTGTTTTGTTTTGTTTTTTCAACACAAGGATGGGAGATAGAATGTGAAATGATCTAATTTGCTATCCTCCATTGCTGATCTTAATGTTATATTGCTAACTGTGAATATAACTACAAATTTGTCAACTTGGGTGCACAAATTAATTGATTACTCTTATACTAAAAAAAATGAGTCTGATACATATTGACCTAAAAACATATTCTTAGTATAATGATAACCACTTGGGAAAGACTTATAGTTTAATTCTTTCTTTCTTTCTTTCTTTCTTTCTTTCTTTCTTTCTTTCTTTCTTTCTATAGTCCCTAACACAAAAAATGACACCAGACCCACACTCACAAATACCACACATGATGTCACAACCATACATCCACACAAAAACAAACCCAAACCCACACAGATGATGAGATACAACCACAAATTATAATCCATTCCACAGCTACATCATTAACCACTTTAAACCCCCCCATTCCAGACATGTTTGGACATCCTAACATCCACCATAAAGAAATGGCACGACCTCGAACTCGAGACCAGGCAGCAACAAGGAATCTCACCATCTCATATCAAACCAA